TTTCCTTTATAGATGAGGAAACTGTGGTACAGGAAAGTTAATAAATGCAAGAAATGAGTGGCAGAGTAGGGCGTATTGAACTGTTCCTAATCCTCTCCTCTTCGTCACTCACTATTAACCACTACTCCTAGACTTTCATTCCCTATTAGCCTAACAACTTGCCTATAGGGAATCAATAACAGTTCTCAGCTATAGGGCAGGGATGGAACCTAATGTTAACTGAGGGAAATTGAGGTCCACATCCCAAACAATTGTCCAAGAAGAACTTTTTCATAGTGTGTTGAAACAGGACTTTCTGCCCTGCATCCTGGGGCAATAGCTTCTGAGTGTTTTAAGATTCTGTTCTGTAGTAGCCCCTCTCCCCCCTTGACATGCCCCTCTCCATGCCGTTCTTGCACCTATCACATGTCTGTGGGAGAAACAGTATCCCAACTTCTTCCCATCTTTACTCTTGGCGGGGGACGTACGTGTGTGTGTTTGTTTGTGTATATGTGTGTGTTCATTCTCTTCACAACACTGTATTTTCTGGATGATGGAGAGATGTGGATGTATCTGAGGATCTGTGCTGCCAGAGGTATGGCTGAAATTTCCTTCTGCTCACTTTGGGGCAGGCTTCCTGGACCAAGTCAAGTCAACCCTTTCACTTGGGAAAAGATAAACCTTCAAAAGTACTGTAGCATTTAAAAAAAATAATTTCGGTCTTACTCCTTTAGGAAGCCTTTCTATTAAGGGAGACTTTAGTACATGATATCTTAAGAATATTTTATTATACTACCTTGAGAATAATTTTTATCATGGAAAAGTCATCCTTTTCTAGTACACTGGTTGTTGTTCTATCATTTGTTTTCAAAAGTTTATGTATGTCATGTTAATGTTTCTGATGGAAGGATATTTTTCTGAACCTTAGAGAACATAGTCACTGGGCATAAAAGTCCTAAGTTAAAAACTAAAGCCTTGCTACTAACATTAAACTGATATTTTTTCCCTTGACACTTGCAACTAACTTAAACTGCCTTCGAATCATTAAGCAGTAATATTCAGATGAGTTCTGTAGATGCAACAAATAAATGTTCACACTTGGACAAAGTCTACCCCTTGAGTGAGACACATACTCACAGATCACTCTGTCAGACAATCACTTATAATCAGCCACTACCAGTATAACGTGATCTACAGATGGAAATGTGAGGAGTTGGGGCCTCCCTGGTGGTGCCAGGGATTAAGAAGCAACCTATGAAGCTATCCACAGCCACTGCAGCCTGAGTTCGATCCCTGGCCAAGGAGCTATCCGCATGGCACAGCAGACTCTCCTGTTTTGCCCGCTGCTGCCCTCAGCAGTGTATTTCAGTAGATCTGCCTGTTCGGCTCCCCACTCTGTCTCTGGTGAATCCTCTCACCCCCCACACCTCTGGCCTGTACCCCAGTTCTTGTTTGCATAAATAAATAAATCTTTAAAAAAAAAAAAGAAAATGTGAGGAGTCACCAGGTTTTTTTGGATAACTTGAGGAGGATAGACAAAGGTTTTAAATTTGAGTAATTGCTAACTTTATGTTTCTAAAAGAGATCTCTCCTTTTAGTGCAAGCCTGGAAAAAAATATGATTTGTGCAAATGGTAGACTGAAAATAGACAGTGAGTCTTCCTTTGCTAAAATCTGCAGAGTTTCCTAAGCAATGTCAGCCTAAACTGGACCTGGTCAGGATAGGAGCAGGAAAGAGGGAATGAGTATGATGGTTTTTGTGCTCAATACAATCTTTATGTGGCCGGGTACATATTACAAGTGTTTTGTTTGCATTAGTGCTAATACCCATAATTGATACAATTGTCCCCCTTCCACAGCCACTACCCTGATCTTCTGTCAGAAGCCCTGTGGCATGTAAAGGAAGTGGTCATAAAGGAACCATGGTCAAGTTTATGGCAGAGCCCCATTTAAATTGGAGAGTCATTTCAGTCAGTTCAACGCACCTAATGGTCCTAGTCAGGACATCCTGATTTTAGATTATCTAGTCAAACATTAATCTCTCTTCCACTGCTACATCCTATTAACCCCCCAGGGATAAATAGATTTTTTTCCTATGTCTGAAATACCTTGAGTCTACATTTATAGCCTAGCAGTCAACCACTCTAAGCTGGTTGAGCTAGGTTGTAATATTGGCCAGTGTCAGTTGATGCTTCTTATTTGTGACTTCTGTTTATATAAAGTGAATTAATTGCTGACTCTATTAAATTCCATGAATGCTTAATGTTCAGTTTTTTTAAAGTAACAGTGCATTTGTTCTTTCTCAAATATGACATCTTACTGAACTTCAGATGAGCTCCTTTAGATATCTAGCATTATAGATGATTTATTCATTTTCATGTTCCTTGAAATTTTTTGCTAAAGGTTGACATGAATACTCACAGTTTGGGCTCTAATAAAACCTCCAAAAGGCAATTAATAAATAAAAGATGGTTACTATTGTTGACAGAGAAACTAGGCTTTCTCAGATAGTTTCATGTTTTCACCGAACTTCATGTCAGATATCCCTAGGGGTTGGTGATGTAAAATATTTTCTGTAAATTCCAAAACTTTTGCTGTTGCTTCAATACCCCAAACCTCTAGGTTGCCTTTTGTTTTCTTGTCAAAAAAGATCTTATTCAATTTCTGTTTCTTCAAGTAATCTGCCTTCCTAGAAATATAGGAAATATGCCTCTTTTTAGATTTAGTAGCAACATATTCCTGGTATTTATGACTTTCAAGTAGCACCTGCAATTTGTCCCTGAAATTTCTTGTAATTTTTATTTTACATAGTCTCATTCTGTTGCATTTATTGAAGATACACTAACATTTATGAAATGCAGTGCTTATTGTCATCATGTGTGTAATGTGAAGTGCAAATTTGCCTCCTATAAGTTAATGATCAAACTATAAGATGACATCTAACAGTTGCACTTGACCTGCTTGACTAGGCTCTGGGATAACATAGACCAGTATCCTTGTTTAGAAATGAGGAAAGTGTAGACCAGCTCAAGCAGCTTGACCATAACAAGGAGAAGCCAAGTACATCTTTGGGCAGTACAGATCAGGCAAGTTGGAGTTAGATACCTGGAGACAGTACCCAGTTCTGACACTTACTAGATGTGTACCTGCAGACTCGTTATTTCACTCATTTCTCTGGCTCAGTTTCCTCATTTGTTTAATGGGGCTAACAAGAGCAGCAGCAGCATGGCTATAAGGATTATAGTACATTCACATGAATACAGCACTCAGAGCAGGGTGAAGCACTCCATGTATGGTTAGCTGCTTGCAATATTGCCATTGGTCTGACACCGTAGTCCATTCACAACATGTGGGAGGGTGTTTATTCTTATTTAACTTTGAGTGTGTATATATGTAGTAGACCTTTGTCACAGTGCTTGTGCATCCCTCTCATTACTTACTACTGTGTGAAACTATTAGTGGTAGTGTTCATAGTAGTGACAACAGTGGAAGCAAAAATAATAATGATTGTAGGAAAAGGTGGTATGACTGAGTCCTACTGTGTGTTGGACATTGATGTCGAAACTCCATATACGTAATCTTTAATATGCACTCAGCCTACATCTATTGAAAAACTGCGAAGTGGTTTATTTCCAGAAAGGCAAGTGTGACCTCTTTCTGACAGAATCTCCTTCTTAACTGCAAAGTATCATGAGCTCTGGCCCAGCTCTATCAGGAAATGAACCCTATAGAATTCCTTCCATCTTCAAATTCATCCTTGAGCTGCCAGTATTTATCTAGCCTAATCCTGTTATAGACAGCAGGGAGCCTGGCTGTGGGTGGGAATGGAGGTCAGGCCTGGGTGAAAGGGGGCAGGTCCAGGGCAAGACAAACAGGGCAAATGAAAAATATTATCCATCAGAAAGCAAATTCTTAAAATTCACTTAGGTTTTTGTCTTTGGGTGGGAATTTTTACACAAAATATTTGTCCCTTTTCTACATACCCAGATAGAAACATATTTGGAACAATAAACACTAAAACAGAAAAAAGGATAATGTTTCATACTTGCTTTGGTTTTATTTATTTGTTGTCTAAATACATTTCAGTCACCAAACATCGACAACCAATGGAGTATGGTAAGGTTTTAAATCCCCAAAATGATAAGCACGTCAATGTACTTTGATTTCTGCACATAGTATGTTGCATAATGATCACAAAAACAATGATGATAATATTAGAACTGCAGTGCACGGGAGTGTCTCACATGGGCACTGGAAAAGAAGCACTTGTATATGTCAGGTGCCTTGCATGTGAACCTGTGAGTGTGCTTGTGTGTGTGTGTTTACACATGTATACATTCTCATACACATAATCACTATATCGCTGCTATAATTGCCTTTCAAATTCCTTTGTGTGGGCCTCCCCTGGTGGCGCAGTGGTTGAGCGCTGGGCTGAGAAGCTGCCCGCAGCCTCTGCAGCGCCGATTCAATCTCCGGCCACCGGCGAGGGTCCCACATGGCGCGACCTCTCCTGCCACGCTCGCTGCTCCCCTCAGCAGTGTATTTCATCAGTCTGCCTGTTCTGTTCCCTGCTCTAACTCTGGTGAATTCTCTCACCCTCCCGCGCTTCTGACTATACCCAGTGCTTGTATAAATAAATAAATAAATCTTAAAAAAAATTCCTTTGTGTGTACATGCATATGCATATATATATATATATATACACACACACACACACTTTGCTCCTCTGATAAGCACATTTATTTCTATACATTATATACAATATCAAGATAGACATTGGCTAGATAGATATTATTTTAAATCTTATATCAATTTTGCAAATAAGAAATCAAGGTTCAGAGAACTTCAACCATTTAAAGTCACAAAAAGCAGCAGAGCTGGGATTTTACCCTAAGTCCCATCCTCTTTATATTCCCTTTTTTAAGATGCCCAAAGAGAAATATTTTGGGAGAAGCAAGATTTCCCATGACACCATAATGCCTCATAAGCAAAAGGATGACCTTTTTGCCCTTTCTTTTCCAGAATCTCCAAGCAAAGATTTTGGTCCAACTTTGGGTTTGAAGAAATCCAGTTCCTTGGAGAGCCTGCAGACTGCAGTTGCCGAGGTCAGGAAGAATGAGCTTCCCTTCCACAGGCCACGGCCACACATGATTCGTGGTCGTGGCTGCAATGAAAGCTTCCGAGCAGCCATCGACAAGTCTTATGATGGACCCGAGGAACTGGAAGCTGGTAGGCGATGTGCTTCCTTCAGTGGTTTCTTCATTTTGTTATTATCCACAAAGCATAACAAGAATGTGTGCTTAACTACAGAGTAAAATGATTTAAGGACCACAATTATATTTTTGATATTAAAAGTAATTCATTTTCCTGATATGTTTTGCCCTTTGGCTTAATGAACATGGAATTGGATAATGCAATATGCAATTTATTTTACATTGCAAATGCTAAAGAAATGTTCTCCTTCACTTTCCTACAAGGACCAACTGTCATTTACCCTTAGGATAGGAGCTCTAAGTGCGCATTTCTTGACATTCTTATTGGAATCATTAGAAGCAGCATCAACCTGAGGACTGACTGCATTAATTGGGCAGAAGCAGTTGGATTCTGTTTGTGTTCAAAATCTCTCCTGGAAATAAACTCACTGTTTGCTTCCCAGCAGGTGGGCTTTCTGAGCTGATCAAGGTTAGCAAGCTGGCTTTCAGCAAATTAGTGTTTTACCACATATCAAAACTTTCATTCCATTACTAAACAACCATTGTCAGCTCCCAACATCACCTCTTGCTTGAAGTAACCAGATTTAAGCAGTTGTCTCTTCAAAGTCCAAGTAGCCACATGGCAGGGTCAAAATCCCAAGTACTTTTATTCATTCTTTCTGTGTTTTACATTTTAACTTTTCGTGATATACGAACAGTAAGTGCCCCTGACTATGTGTATTGATTTTTTTTTTTCCTGTACAGACAGTCTGTCTGATAAGAGCTCTCACTCTGGCCAAGGAGCTCAGAATTGTGAATCTGCCCCTCAGGGGCACTCTGAGCTAGAGGATGTCGAGAATAGAGCCAGGAAAATTAAAAAAACAAAAGAGAAGGAGAAGAAGAAGGAAAAGGGCAAGACGAAAGCCAAGGAGAAAAAGCAGAAAGAGGAAAATGGTGATCCAGAAAGGAAAATGAAGAGGAAAGGGTTCGGGGCCATGCTGAGGTATGAACCGCTAAGAAGGCGGAGTTGGCTTTGCTTTGCTTTCTGTTTTTTGTTTTGTTTTGTCTGGTGAAATCTTCATTTGTGTGCAGTCAGGAACTGAAAGCTTTCATTCCTCTTTAGCTAAATGCACAGAAACCTGAGCCTATGCCGTTCCTTTCCTGCAGAAGCAGAAGGAGCCTGCCTGGGGGGCTCCGAAGCTCGTGGTGATGACCAGAGCTTCGTGCATCTGTTCCTGAGACAAGGATGGGCAATGCCTACTGCCCTGGGTTCCAAAGCATTAGGTGGGTGGAGAAAATGCTCCTCTATCAGCATAGGGAAGGCAAGAAATGAGACAGTCCTCAGCTGTTACTTTAAAACACATCTCTGAATTAGGAAGGTGAACCTCACCTTCCACCCCTAGGGTTCTAGATGTGTGCATGGCCTGGTCTCCAGACAAGCAGAGTCACCTATGGAGGCACACTGGCACTAGGAAGAGGGGACTGCGTCTGGAGGCAGATGGCCCTGGTCGGGACCCCTGACCTCCCCATTTGAACACGTATCACACGTGGTGCTTTGCTTCACTGCATTAAAATACAGCCGGCACACTTGTTCTCCTAACGCCATAGGATTATGAGAGGATTTCATGTGCAGTCAGTGCATTCACGAGGCATGGCTCACAGCTACGTCAGAGCACAGCTCCTCCTATGGTTACTTTCAAATATGCTGTGCTGATACTGACATGATGCCCACACCTGGATGTCTTCTCAGGTCTCCAGTTGATGGGTTTCTGGCCACAGTTAGGTTTTCAACAACTTCTTTATCAGGGGTTAAAACATGCTTTATCATGGGTTAAAACATGCAATCGAAGTCAGTCAAAACTCCCCTCCTCCATGCTCCTCAGGCCTCAATCCCAAGGACCTTGTAGTATGTAGGAGGCAGGATGCCTCCTTCTCCTATTTTTGGTTTCTGGACCAAAGGAAGGATATCCTTAAAACAGGAGAGAGTTTTACTTAATTACATAATCTGGTAAAACCTGGGCTTCGGTGTGGGTCACTTTTGTGGGCCTTCTTACTAATTCATTTTCCCACTGACTTCCCGAGATCCTCTTGCCCTTGGCTTCTGGCCTCAAACAGCACAGCCCCGGTTTCTCCTTGCTCTCATAGGTAGACTTCTTAGGTGGCAGAGGTTTGAGTTAGCCCGACTTCCTTCTGTGGCATCTATTTGGCTCACTAGAATGGTTGATCTCTTGGCCTTCCAAATGCTAGAAATAAGTGAGACCTGTTCCTGTTCCCCCTGCTTCTCCTTCTCTTCATCTGCCATAGGGTTGCCCCAACAAGGCTGGCATCCTCAGACTTCTCCAGACACAGACTTTGTGTTTCCCCAACTCTGAAGCCACACATGAAACTCTCCCAGGAACGCTGGCCTGTGTGGAGAGTACAGGGAGGGTCAGTAAACGTTTGCAAGTCACCAGAGAAAGATGCAGGAAATGGATGAGTCTCCTTTCATATAAATGCTTTCAAATTCTCTGAAGGGTGTTCTGGTAGCCTCCTGAAGTATTTATTGGGGCTAAAGGGGAAACTTTCCTTTCCGTTACTTCTTTTACACCTGTGATATCACATCTAAGAAAATCTCTCTCTCAGTCAATCTCTGCCCTTTTCCATAGGCTGAAGTTGAGTGATGGGAGTGGATAGTTGATGAACCAGTTTGATGACCTCTTAATAAACCCTTAAAAGATAAGTTCTCTTAAGAATTCTGGGTGTTATTTGTCATCAAACATTCTCAGTTCTCTTTCTCTCCATAGATATATACATATACATATATAAATCAAATATATTGTATTAAGATATATATAACATGTAATGCATATGTTATAGTTATAATATTTGTTTAAAAGATATTGACACTGCAAGGTGACATTTAGGGGACACAAATAATATTGACCTCAGTATCTTAATATCTCATTATATACTGGTTTGTTTGTTTGGTTTTTTTTCATGGTCTCTGTAGACACTTTTACTACTTGATATTCTGAATTTTAAATTTTGTTCTGGGTAATTGTCATAATTTCCAGTATTTTTAGGCTGTGGCTTAAGCATCCTGGTAACGAAAATGCCTGTAATTGGAAATGAATTTAGATGAGAATTGTCTTTGAAGTAGGGGAGTATGGAGACTCAAGGTATAAGCTCTGCCTATAGATGTCTGGGTTCAACCCTGTCTCCTCTACTCCCTGTGTAGGTGACATTGGTTACATTATTAATCTCTTCGTGCCTCAGTTTTCTCATCTGGAAAATAGGAATAATAGTGGAACTACCATAATTTTGCAAATTATATTTGTTTGTGTGTAATGTGCTTAGAGTGATGCCTAGCAAGTAATAAACATTTGATAAATATTAATTACTGTGATAAGCAAAATAATGGTTACCTAAAAATGACCATGTCTGTTTGATGACCTGCTACCTGTATGTTATGTTGCTTGGCAAAAGAAAATTAAGGTTGTTGATCCACTGACCTTAAGATAAGGTGATTATTCTAGATTTTCTCCAGTGGGCCCAATATAATCACAAGGGGCCTTAAAAATAAAAGTGAAAAAAATGACTATGGTAGAAAGGTACAGAGAAAGATGGTATTGGTTGCTTTGAGATGGAAGGGGCAATGAGCCCAGGAATGTGGGGGCTTCAGATAATAGAAAAGGGCCAGGAGAAAGTGTCTCTCTGGACAGCCTCCCAGAGAGAACACAGCCTGTCAACTTTATTTCAGCCAATTCTGTTTTTTTCGGCAACTAAATATATGGTAATTTGTTACACATCAGTAGAAAACAAATATAGTTGGTCCTCCCTGGTGGTGTAGGGGTTGAAGTCTCAGCTCTCTGAAGCTACTTGCAGCCACTGCAGCATGAGTTAGATCCCCAGCCAGGGAGCTAGCCACATGGGGCAGCAGACCTCTCCTGTCTTGCCCCCTGCTCCCCTCAGCAGTGTATTTCAGTCAATTGCCTGTTCTGTTCCCTACTCTGTCTCTGGTGAATCCTCTCACTCCCTACTTATCTGCCCTATACCACAGCTCTTGTCTGCATACATAAATAAAAATAAATATTTAAAGAAAAAAGAAAGAAAACAAATATAGTTATTATCAAAATTATTATTACAATATCATCATAATTTACAGGGAAAAAAATTCCTTCTTAATCTAAATTGTTGCTATAAGGATCTAACTAGAGTAGTCTATAAATATAAAAGCAGTTAGAGCTTCATAGATCACATTTCCTAGAATATTGCTAAATTAAACCTTAACTTTATATTTCATTTCAGATTATTTGATTTGACAGGTTCATATTCCATTGCCCATAATACAGAGGCTGCTCTCTTTCTGTTGTCCAATGCATGCGGTATTATCCTCTGGTGGAAATCACAGGTCCCAGATACTTTAGACAGCTAGCAAGCTGGGTTTTGTTTCCTTCTACTATTTTAGCAAAATTAAGATCTGAAAGGTGGTGTTTGATTTTATCTCCAGTGTAAAAATAGAAACTGTTTTCCATAGCCTTTTGCATCTGAGTTTGCGAGCATATTGGAGTTGCTGCTACATGCACATTTTCAACAACAAAGAACACAAAAGCTGTCGCCATTAGCCAACAGATTTTGCTTTAATTCTCAGCTGTTGCTCAGATGCTATTGACTTAGTTTCTTTCTTATTTAAAAAAGATTGATTGCTTTAAGGTTCTCTAGGAGTTAGAAGTGTGGTTTAAATATGTATTTTCCTCCATTATCTGCATTTTACAGGCACTCCCCTGAATACAGGTCTTTTCCTAAACTGTATCTCTTTGGCTTACAACACTGTGTATGATTTAAAGGTACAGGTTCACACCTTTACAGAAGTCTGTTACCACACCATACCCACCACCCAAGTCCCCATAACCCCCCACAGTAGTTCACTGAGCCACTTCCCTCCTGCAAGTTCTCCATCTCTCCTATGGTAGCCTCAGTCTGATTTGTAGGGTTGGTTTTGGTTTAGTTTTGTCTGTTCCTTCTTTTGTTTTGTTTCTTTACACTCCACAGGTAAGTGAAATCATCTAGACTTTGTCTTTCTTCTTATGACTTTCACTTAGCATAATCCTCGTTAGTTCCCTGCACGTTGTGACAAATGGCAAGATGTCACCCTTTTTATGGTTGCCTAGTTTTCCATAGTGTATCTATACCACATCATCAGGAAGATGCAACTCAAAATCACAAGGAGATACCACCTCACACCTCTGAGAATGACCCAAACCAAAAGACAAGAGACAAGTGTTGATGAAGATGAGGAGAAAAAAAGCATCCTCAAACGCTATTTTAAGGAATGTAGATTGGTCCAGCACCAGTGGCAAACAGGATAGAGGTTATTCAAAAATATTAAAAACAGATCTGCTCTATGGTTTAACAATTCTACTCCCACATGTCTATTTAAAGAAAACATATACACCCCTGTGTTCATTGCAGTACTGTACAAAATGACCATGTTAGGAAAACAATCTAAGTTCCCAACTTCAATGGGTGGATAATCAAAATAGGGCTTTAATGCAGATTGTTGTACCATGTACATGGGACCTAGCCAAGGCCTGAGCGGGCGGTGAAATTCTGCCTCCCTCCCATTACTAGGCCATTTGTCATGGAAGTACAAGTGTGTTAGCAGTGACCTTGCTCTCACTTGTGAAAAGCTAAGTATTATGTTCTTTTCTCATGTTAGCTGATCCATTTATGTTGATGATATGCAGTAGTATAGTCTAACTCATTGGTTAATTTAACTGATCCTTTCGGAAAAATCCTTTTGAAAAAAATCAGAGGGAATCTCATTAATTCATATCTTTATATGTATTATATGGATCTAGTATGCTTATGCTTTGCTGATTTTATAATGACCTCCTTGCATAATTCAACCATGGCTCTTGCACAGGCCATGAATTATCATGGAAAATATGCAGTTCAAGAACTTACAAGCTTTGGTAGTTTCTTTATATCCTCTGTTTATGTGCTTTTGAAATAGGACTTTAA